AAACATTTCTAGGAAAAAAAATTTAAACGCCCATTTTTTTTTAATCTCACTTCCATGATAATAACAGGTTGTTATCAGCCGCCCTATGTGATAAAGTCCGTTATTAAACTTGATTTTATCAAGCTGTCTCTATCTTCAATTACAAAGACAGTGTCTGGATATATCATCTGTTTGAATCACGTGTGAGACATTTTAGAGATGAAAATGAAACGGAAGATAACAGCGATGAAATACATGTCCGAGATCAGATTAATAAACACCTTACAATTCCCTTCAGACTGCAACACCTGCGACACGAGGCACGGCCTGAAAAAATGAACTGAGTCAAACAGCAGGGTCCGTAGTGCCAATACATACTGTAGCTGGTTGGTGCCAGTGTCGTGCTCAAGGACACGTCAGTAGTGCGGATGTTTGCAGACTAATTCGAATGAGTTTGCATACTTCCATAGGCCACCAAACATGGGCATCTCTGTGCTGTGAAATTAATATTAAGTAACTAATCAACGTGGAAGGGATTCTGTGAGGAGGAACTACTTTACTTTGCGCCTTTACACACGCAGCAAGGCACGGGGCAGATATCTCGGCAAGAAAATTAAAAAGTCATAGCGCAGTGCTGCTGCAGCTGATTACTGGAGAGGGTGGTGCCTATCAAACACACTTCACATCCATGCAGCGGCCCGGTGCGTGCAATCAGCGGTCTGCTAGCAATCCCGTCCTTTCTCCTTCACATAAACACTACTTAAAACGAAAATATACACGGCCACCTACAGCGCAGGGAAAGTGATCAGGGGGTACCCACCTCGACATTACACTGTTTTCAATTAAAGCGACAATGTTGAGTGAACTGCAGGCGACACTACAGAGACGAAGAGCCAGGAAACCAATTAGGATGCATCTCAAAATAATTTGTTGGACAAAAAAATCGGAGACACTAAAACGTCTTGTTTACACTTGAAATGCCGACTGATAAAAATGATTTCAGATATCTAGTCTACATAAGATTAATATTTTCTTGATACAATTTTTAATTTATGCGATAAATATTAATCAAAATAAGAGTTAAATTATTCATAAACATCATATCTATTTATTTATTTCAGAATCCCTATAATATGAAGACGAGATAAACCAGCAGCACAGGTTTGTTTTCTAAAACGCTCTTTTTTTATCTTCTGTGTAAAACTGACAGCCTGCCACTTGTATGTGCACAATACAGAAGGTTGTTTACATTGTTTACATGCTAGTCCTTCACTATTTTAGTCCGATATAAAGGTGAAAAAATAAAGTAGCCTAAATCAAATCAGTGTATGTGTATGTTATTATATAAAAATCGATTCTACTATCAAACTCCAAATCAGTTGCAGGCTCTCTGACCGTTTGTAATTCTTATGAACATAAGCTACTATGTTATGTTTGAATTTCCATTTTTTAATCTTTATGGCGTGTTTTTAAACGAATACTTTAATATTCATCTGTTTGAAATAATATCAATAAAAATGTTTTAATTTTTTTCTCTCCAGATTGTTTAAGACAGGCGTTTTAACTAATAACATCAGAAGGGTGCGGGATAAGTTACTTGTGTGACTGACACGTTTAAATATTCACAATATAATTAATCTTTTTTTTTCGAGCTTGCTTTAAAACTTCAAGTTCAAGTCAGATGAACTTACGACCAGTTGATCGATCACTCTGTGGCACTGGCCTCCAAACAAAGTCCATGCGGCCTCTCGGTGACCCTCTGCGGCCCTCTCTCACCACTGAGGAGGGGAGCTGGTTTGTTTCTCACAAGATGATCGTTTGTAAATAAAATGTAATCTGAGTTTGACACTTAAAATTCTCAGAATCGCTTTGGACAGGGCCTCATCTCCCCAACGGTTTAATCTGCTGCTGTGAGACCAAATCAAATTATAGGCCCACTGCTCACCGGTGCAGCTGCTGGATCTATAATCCGCCGGGTGTATTCGCCCAATTGGCATGAATGAGCAATAATTTTGAAGTTACCCGTGTCCTGACTTGCTCTGATGAAGCAGCACATTGCAGTTTTGTAGGCTCTGGAAGAACAAAGCCTGTGATATCAATAAGATTTTAATGTACAAATATGAAATTAATCCTTGCAAGAGAAACTCAGAATGTAGCCTGTACTGGAAAGACTGAAATACAATGATGTTCAGATTACAGGCCTACGAGGGAAAAAAAAGGCCTAAATTATATGTATTTTGGCGTGTTGACGTGGGGTGCCAGCATTGTATAAGGCTGGAGTAAGAATGTAACCAATAAGAAAACATGTATGTGTACAGTCCTGCAGAATATTGCAACAACGTGATTTTGAGGGGTCCCACGCTGGTTTGAGTGCACTAAATAACGGCAAGACGGCCCGGAAAGCCTGTCAGGACTGTTGCACTCTGCGGTGTACCTCCACCTAAGTGGCCGAGCATTCCTGAGGATGCAGCGCTGTCAAATATTTCATGATGGGACGTCATGGAAAAGTGCATGACTTCGTCTGAGATGGAGCAACAGGGAAGCTCTGACCTCGGGACTCAAGCCTCAGTAATGATGAACATAATCTGATGCTCTGATGGCATCCTTTACGTAAGAAGGAACAAAATGTTTTAAATTTGTGAAGGAGCAAAAATGTTTTAAAAATGTGGACACATCCATTGGAAAACATGGATTTTCTCTTTCATTTTTTTGTTGATGCAAGTATATTATGATATTAGGAGAATACCTGTTAATTTCGATTGATTGCTGAAATACGCCTATTCAACATTCAACATTCAACAGTGTGGGAAATAACATAAAAATAACATTAGAATAACAGATTTTGCTGTTTTTTACTGAAGAAAGAAGAATGCAGCAGGGAGTAGCGCATCACCGTCCAACACTGATGGTTTGCATAAACATTGCAGACACTTTGGATGGACATGCAAGTTAAAAAATATACAGATCTATAAATAACAAAGAAAGAATAACATGGCACGGGGCGAATGAGCTTGTGAGAAGAAAAAAAAAGCGCCCTAATGGAATGAAGTCATCAGCGGTAATTAAATGCAGTGGGCAGAGGGAGGACGGGAGCGCGCCTGCCAGTGGTGCGCGCTGGGTGGTCCCTTGCGCTGATAAATGTGTGGCCCTCACTTCAGGCGAGTGGCCGAGCAGGCACTGGTTAAAACAATACCTACATTCATGTATCCATGGCTTTAAATCTCCCCTGCAACAGCAAAAAAATAACAGTGGCACGTCTGTCACCTTTGGGTTAACAAAGACAATTTGACAGTGAATTGTTTTCTCGCTTCCTCTGTGGATGAAACAAAGAAAGTCATCCATTTGCGTTTTGGGACTAGACAGTTCCGGTAAACATCAATAAACCATCTGGTATTTCTGTTACTTGACATTTGATTTAAATGTGCTTCCTTAAAATTGCTGTTGCATTAATTTAAAAATAATACAGGAGTTTTACGCACGGGGAATGAAGTCGCCAAACATTCTCTGGTTTTACGCACAGACCAAAATTTGCAAAGTTGCTCATCCACTATTTCCTCCGGTATTATATTCCACAGTGTGAAAACCAACAGCCATCAGAGGCATCCACTGGAAACAGTAACGCCGGCAGAGATCAAAAGCACAGCAAGCTCATCTAACAGAACCCACGGAGAGGCAAAAGGTTGCAGGCAGCAGCTATCGAGATCTCCAGGGAACAATAAGCAACCTACTGTCAACAGTTTTGGGTTATGGACTGATCGTCTTTCAGTAGCTCTCGCGCACAGCTGTAGAAAAGCCAGTAAATCGAGCTAAAACTAAGCTTTTCGACTTTGGAAACACAAACAGATAAACAAACCGGTGCGCATGCTCTCATGAGTGAATTACAATTTAGTTAAAGCAAAAACATTCTGCAGAGCTTTGAGGCATAATTTAGGCTTCGCTGCTCTAATTATCCTATAAAGGTATCATGTCACATTAAACAAACTGAGCATCTCAGATTTTCCAATGTGGCACTGAACTAAAGCGACCACAGTTCTGCTGCTGATATTGCGACTGAAAAAGTGTTAAATCCACCTTACTATAATTCCTGGATCATTCGATGGTAAAACTGCCGGCAGGAGTCGATCTCAAGTCCCAGTCCGGGTTTCTGTGCTCAAAGCTCGGCAGTCCGGTGTTCACTCCTCCTGCGTCCCTGCGTAAATATTATGACTGCATTACACAAACAATATTCATGTGTAAAAAAAGTCCAGTATCTACACAAGACGCTGCGAACAGACGGGCATATCGCATCAGATTGAGTATTAGCTGATCTAACGGGGCTTTTGCTTGATTTTTTATTTAAAGAAGGCCAGGGAAAATGTTTACATTTTGCTGTATAAACATCCTGCCCATGTTCCTGTCTATCTTTTACAGAAATCAGGAGGGTGGTTTTGAATACGAGGCACATGTTCTCTGGCAAATGGTTTTCATGCGCTAAAAAGGTTTTTTATAAAATATTTCAGGAGTTTAATAACAATGGAGACATGACCTATTTGCCGTGCTGGTGCATCCACCGTGTTGGCTTGAAACGGAGAGATACTGTTTGCACTGCAGGCTTATGAGTCTACGCTGTTTATATCACAACGTTCAGTGTCAAAGAAGAAAGGAGAAAGAAATAATAATGAAATTCAGTTTTATTAGAAAATAAGAAATCTGCATCTAAAGGCCCTGCCCAGTGTAGTTACTATCAACAGGCTACTGCGTGATCATGTAATACATTATTATCCATATGAATTTCTTAAAACACTATTGCAAATATACAGATATAAGTTATTACAGGCTGTATGGGATATATATATTCCCTATTTAAATGCAAGGAAGGGAAAAAAACATTTCCCTGAAAAGTGAACGCACACAGATGTGCATGCTCACAGCCCACCACTGGAGTAGGAGGGAACTGGGCGGGTCCCAACATTAGGATGGCCAAGACATCCAGCTTCCAATGCGCTGATGGCAACAGATAAGTAAAAAGTGAGGTCCTCGGACGCACGACAACACACCAACTGAAGTGGAAAGCGGCTCCTGTTCTGCTCCTTATCCCATTTCGGACGCTGCGAACAAGGCGGTCCGGCTTCAGACTGCTGCAGGACTGAATCAAAGGGAAGAAGGCAGAGTTAAGAGGACAATCTCGCCTTTGGCTTGCGCGTTAAGTTTGACTACGTTTAATTTTTTTTCTTGGCTCTTTATGCCAGCGAATTAGTATCCAACTTTGTTGTGTGTATAGGTGGAAAGGTGGAAAGCAACGATTTTTGTTTACTATCTCGAAAACTAAATTCAACTAATGACGGCAGAGGTGCAGCAGCCCCCAGCGCAGACTCCTGCCCAGAGCAGCCCGATGTCTGCTCCGGAGAAGCCGCACGGACAGACGGCGGTGATGGAAACCGCTTCCTCCACGACGAAAACCAAAAAGACAAATGCAGGGATCCGTCGACCAGAGAAGCCCCCTTATTCATACATAGCTTTAATAGTCATGGCTATACAGAGTTCTCCAACTAAGCGCCTGACGCTCAGTGAAATATACCAGTTTCTGCAGAGCCGCTTCCCGTTTTTCAGAGGCTCATACCAGGGATGGAAGAACTCCGTGCGTCACAACTTGTCTCTGAACGAGTGCTTCATTAAACTGCCCAAGGGCCTCGGCCGGCCGGGGAAGGGCCACTACTGGACTATCGACCCGGCTAGTGAGTTTATGTTCGAGGAAGGCTCCTTCAGAAGGAGACCCAGGGGTTTTAGGCGCAAGTGCCAGGCGCTAAAGCCCATGTACAGCATGATGAACGGCCTTGGATTCAACCACATCCCCGAGTCCTACAACTTCCAGGGGAGCGGCGGGGGCCTATCCTGTCCGCCCAACAGCTTGTCTCTGGACAGTGGGATTGGGATGATGAATGGACACTTGGCAGGTAACATGGAGGGTATGGGTCTGTCCGGGCACTCCATGTCACACTTGTCGACCAACAGTGGACATTCCTACATGGGAAGTTGTACAGGATCCACTGGGAGTGACTATCCTCACCACGACAATTCCGCCTCGCCCCTGCTCACCAGCGGGGGAGTCATGGAGCCTCACCCCGTCTACTCGAGCTCAGCCTCGGCGTGGGCTCCAGCCCCCACGGCCTCACTGAATAACGGTGCTTCCTACATTAAGCAGCAGCCTCTGTCTCCTTGTAATCCAGGGGCGAACCCGCTGCAACCGAGTTTGCCCACACATTCCCTAGACCAACCTTACCTGCACCAGAACGGGCACAGTACCACAGATTTACAAGGTGGGTCAATATTTCAACTTCATAATGTTGCATAAAAAAAATGAAGCTGATTTTATAAAGGAAAGTGAAATTAAAGGGACAAATATGAAGTATGAATATTTATTTCCCATTTTTACCAAACCACTTAATTAGCCTATCAGATAGCACAGTTTCATGTTTAGTATTTTCTACACATGATCAAGCCTGGTGGGTTTACATATTTGTAAGGTTGTATGCCAAAATGGGCCTAATGGAAATAGTGAGGTAGCCATAAAGTTTTCGAAACGCGCTGTATTTTGCAATCAGTGAATCACAGGCTTATCTGAGCTGTACAAAGCGGAAGACGAATTCAAATTAAGACCATTAAGGAAAATGATGCAACTAAAAAAAAAAACATGCATGTTTTCTCCCACGAAAATTACCTAAGCTTAGTCAATGTCCTGCTCCCAATTAAATAGAGCACAGTGATCCTCCAAATAAAACCCAGATATGTGGAGTCTCAAACTCGCTTGGTCTAAATTTCTAGAAGTGGTACAGAAAAAGAAAAAAAAAAGGAAAAAAAAAAGAAAATCAGAGTGAGTCTACCGGGACAGTTTAGAGCAGTGCCAATCTCCGGGCAAGCAAAACAAGCGCGGTTAGGTCCAGCCTGCCTTGCCCCGAGGCCCTCAGTCCTCCGGGACTGGCGTGCAAGAGGGCCACTGTCAATTAGCCCTGCAAGCCCGCCTCCCCCTCTCACTATCTTAATCTTGCTTGCTAAATGGACTTCAGAAATATATAGGCATGCACTCGAGTCAGTGAAAAGGCCTATATCTACAAATTAAATGTAAATTCGATGTTAAAATAGAAATAATAAAATATGCTAGACAGGTATCAGTTTGGGTATGCAATCCATTTATTTAACCACTAATGATACTACTCTATTATTATTATTACCATCATCATTATTATCATTAAAGTCAATGGAAAGGCTCTTAGGGTAAATGTGTAATATCTTGGGTAATTAAATCTTAAAATATTAAAATAATTCTATTATTTTTAGATGTCAGAACATCAGGTAACTATATCTTAGAAACTGGGAGGATATATTATTTTAATTCATAGACAAAGTCTCAGTAAACCTTGTGACATTACAGATGTTCATGATTTAAAATACCTTTGTGCAGGTATTCCTCGGTACCATTCCCAGTCTCCCAGCATGTGTGACCGAAAGGAGTTTGTCTTCTCGTTCAACGCCATGACGTCCTCAGCGATGCACTCACCGAGCAGCGGCTCGTACTACCACCACCAACAGGTCTCCTACCAGGACATCAAGCCCTGCGTCATGTGATGCCTCCACGGACAATCTGCAAGACCAGAGGACGGTGTCACAGACTCGAGGCGCGCAGCAGAGTGAACTGAAACGAGAACAAACGAGTAAATAACCACTGAGAGACATGAAGGCATATGCCCCCGGCCCTGGAGAGTTGCTCACCGCTTCAAGTGGACCGGACTACTTCTCTGTACTGGTTCCCACAGCGACAAAGACACGGAGACAGGCCAAATCATCACCAAAGCAACCACATAATAATAATATATAATAATAAAAAACTTTTTTCATGCCATCAACATCGACCAGCGGGGAAAGACTGGGCGTATGAAACCCTGCTGCTGTTTGGTACTTAGTCCTGCAGAGCGGATGACTACCACTTCACACCTTTGTTCATGTTTATTCTTATTGTTAAAGTAGGCCAATGTAAAAAATGCACACTCATTTTCTTCATCTGAAGTTTTTACTTTTCTTTGACAAATTAGACTGAGGCTCTTTATTTGGACGTACATACCAGCATTGAATTTGAAATGAACAATTATGGACATTACACATATACTGTAAGTCCATATATACTGTGTAAAAACGATGAAGGCACTTTTTGAATAGCCTATAAGCGCAACTTTTTATTTATTCTGTAGGCCTGCATATTTTAATTTCAGGCGAATTGGCCAAGGAGGTATATGCTTTATTGGCAATATTTGTCAGAACGCTTATTATTTGTTTTAAAATGAAAATTGAGGATATATTGTAAGCACTGTTATGTTGTTTGTGGTAGATATATGTAGACCATTACTTTCAGCACTGTATACTTGTATATTGTTAGGAAAATTAGTGAGGGCTAATCTTTTGGCTATATTACAACAAATCATTTGTTGGACGTTGAAGCCTAAATCCACAAAAACAAGACATATTTCGATTTTATCACACACCTATAATCTCTGGCATTTTTTTTTTTTTTGGGGGGGGGGGGGGGGGGGGCACTGCAAAAAAATATGCCACCACAACTGAAAATTTTAGCGACCATTATTACACAATCAACCCAAAGGTAACAGTATTTAAAGACAGTGAGGCATTTTCCTGAAAAGAAAAAAAAAACACAATATTTATAATAATTCAGCAGGATTTTTCATAAATGTATAAGCTTGTAATTAATAAATCTAAAAGGTGGGTAAACTGAGTTCATGTGGGTCTCATCTACATCTTTGGCGACACTGAAGGCAAAAAATTTAAAGAACATTGCGCACAGGTCCACAGTATCATTACAGAAGTTCTACAGAAAAATGTAACATGAATATCACAGTGGTGTCTGTATAATGCATTTCAGACCATGGCTGCAGCCACAGTCTGGCAGTTTAACCAATCAGCGCAGCAGGAGCAGGTCGTGCCTGTTGTTGTAAACTGATGTTATATGAACAAATCTGATTTTCCACAAAAAACTGATTAATTGATGTAGATTTAAAATAAATGGTTTGAAAAGTTAATTGTAACACGCATTCTATTTGAGAGTCCACGCGGCAGTTACAAAGATTTCACTCGCGTTTGGTTACAGGTTGTGCAGTTGTTTTCCTCTAAAGCATTTGGTCCAAAGAATATTTCCGCATAATACCCTGGTGAAAATATAATAAACGGTGCTGATATAAATGAATCCTTTACCTCCTGTACTGAATAGTTCAGGTTGTCAAAGACGCATCAACTTCTGTAAATCTGCACGAGGAAAGAGCTGTAAGAAGATACAGATTCCAAAATTACAATTTATGAAGAGGGGGAAAAAAAATTCAATAGGTTTAACATAAAATATGAAGGAAAGCTGTGCAGGCAAAACCTTGTACTTCTTAAATATTAACTTCAAAATCTATAGCAAATGCACAGGTATAAGATGCAATCATACAAATAAGTGAATCCCTGAATGTCTTGGAAATACAACATACTGTTTTTCAAAATATAACAAAAGGCACATGAGCCAATTTTCCTAAATGCTCTTTATCAAATTCCTTGTTGTTTGATTATTATGGCAAAAAAAAACAGTTTTACCAACATGAATAACTTGTTGCTTATAGTTTAAGGCTAATGCAGGTAATATTAATTTGAATTGGCACTAATTAAAAAAATGTATACATATCTTTTAGAATTTGAATTCTTTTAGTTTCAGAGAATTCTGTGGTGTTGAAAACAAAAACAGGTTCTCCTCATGCTGAAAAACATGGCAACATAGTTCACTCAGATTACACTGATGCACACCTCAAGTTAGAGTTAAGTTAGTTAAAGGAACAGCGTAATTGAAGTCGTCGTCTTGTTAACATTATTGTGTAGATCGTGCAGTTGAGGTTTGTGTGCAGACATACAGTACGGTAAATCTATTTTCTTTTGTTACTTGTGTAGCTTTGCACCCTCACAACATTGACCACTGACTGAACCCCAGTAGAATGAGCATGCCATCGAGCACAGGGGCTGCAGGCTCAACAGCAATGGAACAGCACATTAACAAACCGATGACATTTGCCGAGGTTCAGTGCTCTGGCGGGGCTGAGGGAGAGCAATGGGGCTCCACAGCTGTTCCCTGGCCAGGCCTGGATGACAGCTCCATAAAAAGCCTGAGGCCTGCCCTGTGCAGACAGACATGTTGCGTGCTTATGTCTCAATACAATCAAGACTTCAGAGAAAACAGGACACTTCTCTGGCAGTACAGACCGACACGAAGGTGACCATTTATCGGGTAATGCCTGTGCAGGGGAGGGGGTGCAAGTTACAGGTTATTGGGTGCTAAAGTCTTGATAAGTGGTTTGCATATGTGTGATACTCTTGGTATGTCTAAACTAACCTGTTGTTCTGCCTGAAAACCAACAGTTCTAATGCAGATAGATTCACTTTCAAAAACAGGTGTCATTAAGAAAACATCAATCTCTTAAAATTTGCTTAAAATCTTTGCTTTTGCAGTTACGGTAATTCAGAACGTTAAAAGTTGACTTTTAATGATTGGTATCCAATGATCACACCTCCAAGTTTTATCAAAATTCCATCAGTGGATTGATATATCATGTTTAAGTTTAGCATCTGACCATACATCACTGCCTCATTAGTACAAAGTTTCATGTTATTCTTTATGACAGTTTGAGGCGTGTTTTGCATACTGTGTGGTCTCCAAAAAGTGCAATCAGTGACTCAATAACCCCGGGATATTTGTCAAAATCAAAGTGAGATACTGCACAATTGTTTAAAATTAATAAATAAAGACACTAAGACTGAACAGGTACAGTCAAACACTTTAGTAGAAATTGTCTCTATGTAACATCTTACAAACGGATGCATAAAGTCTGTAACAGCTCATTCAGGCATCTCCTATTCACTAAATGTTGATGCTGGCATCATACCCAAACTGATCTAACCAGACATGCCATGTACAAGTCTTGTTTTTTTTAATCAGTAAAGGTACAAATATCACTGCTTGAATGCACAATGTCCAATTCCAAAATATTCAGAAAAATAACTAAGTGAGCAGAAAACACAGAACAGAAGAAATCAAAGAGCTTAGTGCCTCAACAGTTGTTATTTTTAAATCAAAATAGCTTTGGATGTTTATAATCTGCATAACAATAGATATTTTGAGATACTACCTAAATCGTTTAAAAAAATTTTTTTGAACTGCAATTGAACCACAATTAAATTATGGCCATTTAAATTGATTGTATTGCTGTAGTCTGTGATATGCGTGTATGTTCACGTCCTCTAAATTTGGTTGAAACGGCACAATATGTCCAAGATTTATGGTAGTTTATGTGAAATAGACCACATTCAATTAGCAATGAAATGGAATAGAAAAAACAACCAACATGCTTTTAAAGTGATTCAAATGTTACAGATGTGGTGAGGATTGGATGGAATTCATAGTGGTGAAAAGAACAAAAAAAATAAAAAAAAAACCTTTGTGGAAAATCTTTTTGGTCAAACATTGTGGCATATATGGATACATAAATGTTAGACCAATGAATTTTCAATTTTACTATGCCTCATGGGCCAGGGACGATCGGGATCATATAAATCGCCACATGTTGGCGCTACCGCAAAAAAAACTAACCATTTCTTTCTTTGGCCCAAGGCCTCAGTTCAATGTTTTTTGAGATAACTAACAAGTATTTAACAAACATATTGTATGTTGACTCTGTGGTTTGAAAGAAAAAAAAAAAAAATATATATATAGTATATATAGTACTATATATAATTTTTTTTTTTTTAATATGAATCACCTTCAAAAAAAGCACCTTCAATGACAAAGGCTCTTGGGACACAGACCAGGAGGTCTGTGTGGAGGTGTGAGAATTAAATAAAGGCACATTGGTGTATTGGTTAAATATAATTAAATGGAAAAAACAAAATACTTTTCTAGTGAAATGCTTTATGATGCTGGGATTCAGAGATGATATTTTTAGGTATTGTTGTTGCATATTTTATTCATATATTGTGATGTTCATTAGCAGTCACAGTCTACAGTTTATATAACTGAGGTCCTCTTGTAATAAATCTAGATATTCATAAAAGAAAAAAAAACAAAACACAACTACACTCTTCTTAAGGTGTTTAAGGTTGCTCCACTGTTGCCTATTGCTCATACTGCTCAGTCTTTTCAGTTGTGTCACCCTTGGTATCTGGTGATGCTGTTTCAGATCTTAGAGCTACTGATGTTCTCAGTCTCCTATTGGATTGTCCAGACCTCTTGCCTCCCCGTTGGCTCTTGGCCAGCTCAGCCTGCAGACTGTGACCATTCAGACTGAGACCCTGCAGAGCCTCCAGGGCCTGCTCTGCAGCCTGAGGGTCACTGTAGTCAAGGAAGGCCCTGTGCTGAGCTCCCTGCCAGGTGAGCCTCAGCGGAGCAGCCTCCCTCTCTCTGAGGGCAGTTTTCAGCTCACTAACACGCAGCCCTGCAGGGATTCCTCCCAGGTATACTGTGGTCACACTTGGAGGAAGCCTACGTTGAGACATGACTTCACTTCCCCTTTCATCTGAACCCTTCTCCTTCATGTTGCCTCCACCTTTTCCCTTTCCTTTCTCGTAGATTTCTCCCTGTTCATCCCTCCTGCCATCTCCTCTGCTTTCTTTTCTCACTCTAGCTGGGCGCAGTCTGGCCCTCTGTTCTCCCTCTGCTCTTTTCTCTTGTTTGGAGTCCTGTGTGGATACTCCCTCAGCATCCTGCTGCGTGTTCTGCCTTGGCCTCCGTCTGGTTTGCCTTTTGGGTTGACTGGTCTGCAGACGAGGCTCTGCTTCAGCAGGCACCGCCCCCAGTGTTACATCCTTTCCAACCTGTTCCTCCAGAGCACGCAGCTTCTTCAGGATGGGGATCTTCTCCAGCTTTTCTGTGTCCAGCTAAAGACACAAAACTGGACAGGCTCAGGTAAGGCTGAAAGGGGAGGGGTGTCACACACAGCAAACAAATAGCCCTGCTGAGAGCCAAGGCAGCATACCTATGGATGAGTTAAATCAACACCAAAGCAAAAGCTGACAAATTAATTGCTATTACTCCATCCTGCACAGCCCATGCTATGGTAATAACTTTCTTTAAAGCAGCAGGACATTTCATTTCCCAAGCAGTTAAAAATAAAAACTTGTCTTGATTTGTTGGGTCCTCAAGTGTCTTGGCAGCCTTTGATGCTGACCAGTCCTGTAAAGGATATACGGGGCTATTGTTTTTACAGTGGCCTGTTTGACCTGTCATTCCCCTGCCCCTGCAGAGCCAAGCTGGCTGGGCAGAGGAGCCTTTGATGATCAGACATGGCCTTCCTGCCTGTGAGGTCACTGGGTCCTGTTTACTTACATGCGTGTCTGAAGGAAACCCAGAGGTTACACAGAAACTCTCCACATGATAAGAATAATATCCCCATCATGTCTAATTAAAGACAAATTATCAGGTGGAAAAACACATGACATCTCTGCCACCCTCAGTAAATCA